ATGACATCAAAATGAGTTATGTCTAATGGCATTAAATCAGCTAATAGTTCAACATTCCCAATCACAACAACACATGCTCGATAGATGGATGCAACATTCATAGTTTTCCCAGATGGAGTAGATACAAATAGCACATAATCAAGGGGTTCTAGTTCCCTATCAATCTTCTTGGCAAAATTAGCAGAAATGAATGAATGTGTAGAACCCGAATCAATCAATACAAATGCATTTTAAGAGCAGATTGGAAGTATACCTGGCACCACTGTCTCAGCATTCTGAGTGTCTCCTGGTACTAGTGCAAAAACTCTGCCTTGCCTCATCTGTCCTTTCCCAACGTTACCCTTCTGTACGGAACCCGAGGTATTCTCATCTTTCTTACCTTCATCAGCCCTCGTTTTTGGACAGTCCCTCACAAAATGACCTATTTCACTACATTCGTAACAAGCTCCAGACGCCTGACGACAAACCCCAAAATGTGGCTTCCCATAACTGGAACATGTCGGCTTAGTTCCACTTTCCTGCCTTGGGTTGCTTGAACTGCCGACATTCGCTTTCTTCTTGGTACCGAACTGTGCTCGGCGATTGTCATAACTTTGCCTCTTCCTTTGGTCTCTCCTGAACTCTGATATCTGTTCAAGTTAGTTTCGGCCAGAATGGCTTTGTCCAGTACTCCAGCGTAAGTCGGCATATTGAGCATATTAACTCGGTCTTGTATCAGTCCACGAAGCCCACTTTCGAATTTCCTAGCCTTCATATATTTATCATTGACCATATGGGGCGCATACCTCGCCAACTCGGTAAAGGCACGGTCATATTCAGCTACTGTTCTACTGCCTTGCGTCAAAGTCTGAAACTTGGTAGCCTTGCGATTTCGAACACTTAAGGGAAAATGCTTGGTGTAAAACAACTCTAAAAATCGGGTCCAGGTCAAATCTGGATTGCTTTCTCGAACCATCATCCACCATCTGCGAGCGTCGTCGTCTAGTGTAAAAGCCGCTAATGTCACCTTCTGGGTGTCGGTGCTGGGAAAGATCTCGAACAACTTTTCCATTTCTAACACCTACGCTTCGGCCTTCATCGGCTCTATACCCTCTTGGAATCTCGGTGGCTTCATTTTGTTGAACTCTCTGATCAAGACTATCGTGCCGTCCCCATATAAGGCTGGCTGTGGGGGCACTTGTAGAACGAGAGGAGTAGGAGGTGGAGGTGGAACTGCATTTCGACCGTTTGTCTGCTCGGCCTGAGTTGATGTAGCACTAGCATACTGCTGTCTTGCCTGCCTTAACTCGCGGGCCAAACCTTCAACTAACCTTTCCAGTCTGTCCAATCTGTCCTCGGACTGATCTCGGCCAACTGGAGGTCTACCTCTCCTCATGATACTATGAGTATGCAAAGTATGACTTAAAAACAAAATAAATAAATAAACACGCAGGCAATAACAATTTAGCATGCCGAGACGATGCACACCTTGTCCACATAGCAAGCAATATGATGCAATCCTAACATCCTTCTAAGGGGAAATCCTATGCTCTTTAGGACTCAAAGTGTGTGAATAACGTATACTAAGGAACATGTGCTCTGATACCATTCTGTTACGACCCCAAACCGCCCCTAGTAGTTTGATGCCGTGATGGCCAGTAATCCGAGATTACCGAAGGCCAACTTACAAAATTCACACACAATCAAAGTATAAATATACGAGGCACAAAAGTGCAGAAGCAAAATATACAAATACAAGTGGTCTATAAGAGCAGTGCATAAGTTAGATGGAATGGCATACAACTTTACATAGCTTTACAACTTAAATACAAATAAAATGAAGTACCAAAAATACATTTTACAAAAGGGCTTCACAAGCCGACATAAACAAAATACATGAAATACAACTAAAAGCATAATCTTCAGGATTGCCGATATCCTCCCTGCCGACATAACATGCGTACAAAGCACACATCTTGATCGAAAGGCTTCTCAAGCCGACGTATGTAACATACAAGTATTACAAATCGAGAAGCATAATTTTCAAGACTGCCAACGTAAATACAAGTCAAGCCGACATAATCAAAAATCCAAAACAAGCTCCAGAATCACATCTAGGCGTCATCGCCTTCTTGCTCATCACCTACATATATATAGAGAGGGTGAGCTTGGATACTTAGTGAATGGCACCAATAATAAAGGGGTTTGCATGAATAATAGCCGAAGTCCTTCCAAAACAATACAAGTCAAAACTTTAGATAACAAGGGATGGACCTCGTCCATCTAACAAATCTTCAAAGTTTCAAGGGAGGCTTACTAGCATCAACATATTACAAATGATAACATTCCGGCAAACGTATCCACGTGGTAAACCGTCAGTGACGAAACAAGACAAAACAAGGGAGACATCTCAAACAAGGGTGATACAGAAGTTTAGAGTCCTCTAGCACAATGGACCTATGTTACAAAGGCCCGTAGCCTTTTAACACGAGAGTGCTGCGAAAGTTTAGAGTCCTCCAGCACAAGGGACTTTTCAAGACAAGACGTGCTGTGAAAGTTTAGTGTCCTCCAGCACAAGGGACTTCCAAAACGAGATGTGCTGCGAAAGTTTAGAGTCCTCCAGCACAAGGGACTTTCAAACGAGATGTGCTGCGAAAGTTTAGAGTCCTCCAGCACAAAGGACTTTCTGAGAAGGTCATTCAAAGCAAGTATGATACAAGATACAAAACTAAGGACAATCATTCATGCTTAACAAATACCTTTCAAAACGAAGCAAAGCAAAGCTCATCAAAACATTGATAACATAGCTTTATTAAAAATACCAATCACATAGTTCGTCAAACGTCGGGGCCAAGGAAAGTCCCAGTCCTACAAACACATGGCAAAGTCTATTGAATGCACTACTCAAAGTAAGTCTAGCATGCATGCAAATGACTTCGGTATACTTCAAAAACTAAGTCAAATCAAATCAAAACACCATTTCTTATTTCTGGAAAACAGGCTGAGCGACTACCAGGTCTAGGCCGAGGTCCCACACCTCCTTGCCGAGGTGTGGCCCCGACGGCCACATTCAAAAGCAAGATCGGGAAAATCTGGGTTTCCCTCTTGATAAACATGAAGAACATGAGCATGAAGAAATGACTTCGGTATACTTCAAAACCTAAGTCAAATCAAATCAAAACACCATTTCTTATTTCTGGAAAACAGGCTGGGCGACTACCAGGTCTAGGCCGAGGTCCCACACCTCCTTGCCGAGGTGCGGCCCCGACGGCCACATTCAAAAGCGAGATCGGCAAAATCTGGGTTTCCCTCTTGATAAGCACGAAGAACGTAAGCATGAAGAACATGAAGAACATGAACATAAGGAAGATGAATGCACAGATCAAAACTTGCTATTACGAAAGCTGAGATTTCATGCTATGAATTAAAAAACGTGGACCTGGGCACCCATACTCAAAGATCTTATCAAAACAAACACAAAAACATGAGCTTTAATGCAAACTTTCGGATCAAACGAGGCTTTTTTTCAAGAACACATGAAAATCATTTTCTCTTTCAAAAACCAACTTTAACTCAACGTATGACGTGCAGAACAGGTTTGATCGTGCAATGCAGGTAGATGATCAATAAGAACAACAAAAGTAGGCTAGGATTCTAACCTCAAAACTTGAATCTAACGGTTCAAGCTCCAACGATCAAGCTTGGAAGCTCACTCTCTTACTTAAACTTCTCCTCCTTCTTCCTAGAGTTTCTCTCACTCTAAAACACAAGATTTGGTACAAAATGATATGTTTCTCCCGACAATCACTGGCTTAATTCCTCTGCTGGGACACGTGGCACTGGCTGGTTGGCTCTACTCGAAAAGGTGACTGATTGATTAGACAAGACTATCACAAAGTGTATTCAACAAGCTAAACAGCAAAAGTACTCCAGCAAATAACGACATCGGCTAACAACAAGACTCCGGCAAGCAAGTGGCAAGGACATCGGCTTGGAAGGACATCGGCTTGGAAGGACAACACTTGACTAAGCTGTGCCACACCTTGTCCTAGATGTGCCACACCTTGGTCTAGGTCATACCATTCCAGGAACAAAATCGCTAGTGCAAGGATCAAGGATCTAGAACGTCTAGATATTAACATCTCGGCCTAGATGATGCACATCTCGGCCTGGGGCGGCGCGCACCTCGGCCTAGATGGTGACATCCCGGCCAATATGCCAGGGTGAAGATGGAGGTCAACCGAAGGGGTTCCAAGATAGTTCTAAGTGTGGAAGGGTTCTAAGGTGTCTAGGCTCAGATAACCTCGGCAACACACCAGGCAAGAACAAAGCATGCAAGCAACATTCGAGCAAAACAAGACAAGATTTGCAAATGCACATATCAAAACAAAATCATACATAAATATATGCAAGTATGACTAAGTTGAAATGAGGGTTGTTACAGCGGAGTTGCTGGTGCTTGAGGCAATCTTGTCTGTTCTTCCCTTATCCTGGCCTCATCGACAAGGTCCCTCAGAAGGCCTTGCCTCACCAAGTCTTCTAAGTGTGCTTTCAGGGTTCTGCAACCCTGAGTTGGGTGCCCTTCTTCGTTGTGGTAAGCACAACGTCTACCGACGTTTCTTCTCATAAATTCCCCTGGTGCTCTTGCCGGCGCCCTGAAATAGGGTTGGTTTCGTATTTGATCCAGAACTTTGTAGATAGGGATTCGGAACACAGTCGTTACTGCCTGTTTAGCCCTTAGTTCCGTTTCTTGTTTATTCGATCTATTGTTACCTCGGCCTCGCTTCGGCGAGCCGTTTCCTTTTTCCTGCTTCATTTCTTTGTTTCCCAACGTATCCTCCTCGGCTCTGGCGTACTTCTCGATTCGTGCCATGAGTTCTTCCATGCTTTTTGGCAATGTTTTTGCCAAAGACTTCCGTAGTGGGGAGTCATTTTTCAGGCCATTCTTGAAAGATACGACTGCCACTTCTTGGTTGCATTCGGGTATTTGATTGAACACCTTGTAGTACCTCTTTGCGTAGGTCCTAAGGCCTTCATCCTTGGTGATCCTTAAAGCCATCAAAGCGTCGACCCTCAGGGGCTGCAGTTTGTTCGTCACAAGCCTGGCCACAAACATCTCGGCCAGGCCTTCCCAAGTCTTTACGCTTCCCTTCGGTAGTTTATGGAACCAGTCTGATGCAATCTTCCCAAAGGATGAGGGGAATACTTTGCAGAGCAACGGCTCGTTCCCACTATATAATGCCATTGAATTCAGGTAAAGTCCAACATGAAAGTTGGGATCTGACTTACCATCATATATCTGGAACCTCGGCATACTAAATCTTTTTGGTGCTTCAAATTTGTCCAACTCCACCGAGAATGGTGTCCTCTTCTTAACTGGGGAAGTTACCTCAACTTCAGCATTCTATTGCTTCCTTTTGAGGTAATCTCTTAAGTCTTCTTTACTCCTCCTTGGAGCTCAGCTATCTCTGGACTTCAATCTTTTCGGCACACTACTTTCGGCCTCGTGGTGGGCCCGTTTCGATCTTTCCCCATAGGTTGTGTCAAAGCAGAGCGCCTGCCCTCGAACATGCCGATGTTCTTTGGGTTCTTGGTCCTTCGTGTGATACGTCCTTCGGGACTCCTCTCTTCTCGGCTCCTCTCGTCCGACTTCCCTGGAAGGCCGGTAAGAGTGCCCTCCGCTCGTGGTGTGCTGAGGGGCTTCGGGGATTGTTTTCTTTCCTCCCTTCTGGGTATTAGCTGCTGGAATCGGTGTGTCCTGCAGCGGGTACGGTGGCTGCATGACATTGTTCTGCATCATGAAGTTGACGACCGACTGCAGGTCTGCCAACTTGTTTGCCAATTCTTTTACTTCTTCATCCCTACGTAGGCATCTGTCCCTCCATACCTGGAGGTTATCTTCGTCATAGTACTTGCTTTGGTCTGTCTTTTTCGAGGTGTCGCCTTCCTGGCCGACGTCTTTCTCCCCATGGCCCTGGTCATGAGTTTCTGTATTGTGGTTGTCTCCTTCGATATCAAGATCGATAGGTCTGCCACTCCCAGCAGGAGTATCGTCCCCAATCTTTTCCTTCTGTCCGTTACTGGCCATCTATTCTTCTTCTTTCCCACAGATGGCGCCAAATTGTGTGAGTGATTTTCTGACCACACTGCCCGCCTAATAATCAGCTGGAGAGCACCGGTAGAATAGATGGCTTCAACTAACCTGTAACAGAAAGAAAAGGCTCCGGCGGTGGCTCTTCCACCTGGAGGCACTCCGACGATCAAGTCAGTATATCTCTCAAAGATATTCAAGTGCTAAACTCACTACTCAAAGTATAAAACTGCATATCTTAGACCCACGGAGGTTCCTCTTTTTTATAGTTAACTCAATCACAGTCCTTCTAGAAGCCTGACTTCTATGGACTCCTATTCAGTGCTTACTTTGGATTTCACAAGAAATAAAGATAAATTCCCAAAGAGTTTTATTCTCATCTTAACTAAAGTCTCCTCTTTATCCCAGGACTCTTATCCCTTATCTTTTATCCTCTTATCTCGGATTCCGATATCTTCGGAGATAACCTCGGCTTCGCCGAGATAACATCGGCGTCATAACCAGGACACGTAGAACCTCGACTGACACGTCGGCGTCACCTTGACCACGTGTTGGTACTCAAAAAATATATCCCCACAGTATTCATTAACAAAATTTTAAACTTTAAAAATAAATAAATGTCAAAGGCAAAGTATTGAGATGGTCAAATGGCAATTGAGTTAAAATCAAGTTTAAAACAATTGTTTATTGGGACGGTATATTTTGTTATCAAGAATTTTTTCATCATCATATCTTATATATTTTTCAATTATATGATGTGGTTTTCTCAAACTTTAAAATTATGCCGTGTAATTAAAAGTTACATGCAGTAGTCAAATATGAGTTTTTTGAGATAAAAGTTTCTTGCACTTGTACATAAATAGATATTTATTTATTATAATGAGAGCCTCCTTAGGAGACTTGACCATTTTATGTATTTGCCTTAAATTAATAAATTATACATATGTGGAAATCACTAGTGCATGATTAACAATTTTTAATAGACGTGATACCAAAACTCCAATTAATTAATCCTAAATAAAACCATCCAAATCCTTCCATTGACTTTGACAAAGCTCAAACATCATCCAACAAAAAGAATCTCTTGCATAGTTGGAATTGGCCAAGAACTTCCCTATTTTTTTTAAAACAAAAGTTTCATAAAATAAATATATAAAGAAATAAAGCTTTTTCAGATTGAGTTGGGAGTCAATCTTTTGTGAATAAGATTGATAGTTGCTGCTATTTTTAAAACATAAATGTGATGTTTCCTCAAATCTTGTTTTATGTTATATATATAAAAAAAAATTGGACTTATTCCCCATATTGACTCTTTATCATCACACACTGGAAGGTGTATGATGAATAATTGGAATTACTCACTAAATCTTTATATATACATATATATATATTAGTGATGCGTGAGGGTGTGTTATTGTAAGTTACAAACTTGCATCTGAATTTCATTAGTTATATGAAAATTTGATTTGAATAATTATAAAAGATAAGCTAGTTACATGAGAATATTTTGAAGAAATTAAAAAAATCGCAACATCTTCATCAAGTCTAACCATAACAGATAAATAGATATACACAGATAGAACCAAATTTATTTTACTTTTATTTTTAATGGTCATGTAAACAAATTTTTGCAGATAAATTAATTTTTTTAAAAAACTCACAACTCTATCTCAAATAAATTGAAAAAAAATAAAATCAAATAGAAACCACACAAAAAATAAACAAGATAATAATTTAGATATGGATCTCAAAAAGATATGACAATATCTAAATTTGAATTAATTTAGTAATATAATTATCTATTTTTCTGATATATAACTATCAAAATTTACATCACTTAATGAGATAAATTAATCAATTTTCAAGTCGTATTTAGAGAATAATCTGATTAGTTATTCTAACTCCTATGCTTGGTGGGCACTGACGGATGAGCCAACGGATTGGGTTAAGTGAGGTCGAAGTTGTTAGAGGTAAACATCCTCTCACTTCATAAATTTATTTTTTTTTCAATTTTATTTTTTTCCCTATGTGATATTCTTTCTCTATTGTTGGTTTGGTTTTGGTTTTGCTTTCAGTTTTAGTGAGATTTATGTGTTTGTTTATAAGTTTGTATGGTAGAGAAAAATTATTGGTAATTATAGTTGCAATCGAAATATCTATATCCGTTTTGTACCAAAGATTTTGATCGGATTTTATTTTCTTCAATGAAGACCATAAAATTGAAGTAAAAAAAAAATGAGTATCAAATTTTTTATTTTTTATTTTATAGAAGATGTGAAAATTTATTGAGAATTCAAAATTTTACTATAGCATTAGATTTTTGTATAACTAGGTAAATTTAAAACTTTTAAATATCATTGTGTTCTTTATTTTTATTTTATTTCTATCCCATTATACCATTATTGCTATTTGTTAATTTGTTAATTATAATTCAATTAATTAAAAATGAAAGCTTAATAAAACTTTTCATATATATTATAGTTAATTTGTTACCGCTATAGTTGTATATGATAGTATAATATATTGGGATAATCTTTAAATATAATTTTTAATTTTTTATGTGATTAAAATAGTTCATCTTAAATAGTATATATAATTGCTTCTTTTATCTCTAAAAAACCCTTCTTTTTTTTTACTTTTTAAGTTTTTAAATTGAAACATCAACTGTTTATGTCCACAAAACAAAATTGATAAACACATATCCAAAAGTTACGCATTTTTTTCTTTTATTTTTTTTATTTTTTTAATATGTAAGATATTTACAAATGGAAAATGTTTGATACCTCAAAAAGTTTCCATAATCTAACTTATAATGATGTAATCATAAGTGTCAATTTTTATATAAATATAATAAGAAAATTAATTAAGTTATACATTTCAACCAACCATATACTCAAATTTTGACTATTTCAAGACGTTATGTCACCATAATTCTAATTAAGAGAATCTTCATCCCTTAATTTTTTTTATCAAATTATAATTTGATAAAAAAATTAAAAGATAAAGCGTTGTAAATTATTATTTTTTCCATCAAAATTGATAAAAAGAAAAAAAATTAGGATAAGAACAAAAGTTCTTTTAAAAACTGATAAAAATTTAATGAAAAAATTAAAATAATTTATATCAAATCAAAAAATTTATTCAAATTTAAAATCAAATTAAATAAAAAAATTAAAAAAAATGATGAAAGTTTGAAAATATTTTGAAACTTTTTTATTCTTAAATACTAGAAATCTGTGTGTGTATTATGTTCATATTGTATTTTTAGTTATGAAATTAAAATTAAAAGAAATATAACTTAAATTATTGGATTAATAATAAAAACATCATATCAAGTATTGTTAAATATCACTTCACTTCACATTTAATAATAAAATTGTATATTTATCTTAATTATAACATTTAAATTTGTATATTTTCATAACAAGAAGAGGTATATCATAATTCATTATTAAAATTATAATCTCATTTAATTAGGTTTAACTTTTTTTTTAATACAAATTATTAAAATTGTATATTTTTTAATTTTTTTAAACTAATAATTTAAAAAATTATGAACATAAAAATAAACTTATAAATTTTATATATATTACAAGATAAAATATTAAATTATTTCAAAATAATTATAATAAATTTTTTAATTTATAAAATGCGTGCAAAAATTGTAGAATTTTACCAGTGATGTTACATATTTAAACTATTTGTATAAAAAATGAAAGAAAATGTGAAAAAAAAATGAAAAAAGAAAAAAAAATCTGGTCACCTTGGGGCTAGAGAGATGGTGAAGTCAGTGGGGACGCCAATCTTCTCCGCCCAATGTTTCGACTCCAAATACAGCTTCGAAATCCGACTAGCAACCCGACCCATATCCGGTCTCCTATCCGGATCCGGATCCACACAGTCCAACCCGACACGTACAATCTTCTCCGCCACCTCCAACGGGTACGAGTCCTTCAACCTCCTGTCCATCCACCGCCTCAACCGCCCTCCTCCGCCACCTTCCACCGCCTCTCTCGCAGTCTCAACCACCGAAACCCTCCGATAACCACCGCTCTCACCGTCATGTATAAACCTAAAAGGCTCTTCTCCAGACAACAGCTCCAAAATCACCACTCCAAGCGCGAACACGTCCGATTTCTGCGTCGCAACTCCGGCGGACTGGAATTCCGGCGACATGTACCCTCTCGTGCCTTCGAATACCATCGCTGGACTATCTGATTTCTTGAATCGTGACAGTTTCGACTCTTCTGCTTCTTCGCTGTTCGCGATCTCGCCGCATAGATCCGCGGTGCCGAAATGGCAGAGTTTCGCGTTCAACGACGGTTCGATCACGATAATGCTTGAACTCTTGATGTGATTGTGAATGAATCCGGAACTCGAACTCAATCCTGTGGAATGGTGAATGTAATCGAGTCCGTGAGCGATATCAGTCGCGACCTGCATTCGAGACATCCAATTCGAAAGGACCGTGAAATTAGGGTTTTGAGAGTTTCGGAGACAATTCGCGAGATTAGCACCGTGAATGTAGTCGTACACTAGGTAGATATAGGTTCCAGAGACCGAAGCGCCGCGAAGCTTGATGAGGCTCGTATGGTGGCTCTTGTAGATCAATGACAGCCGGTGCCGGAGATCCTCAGAGTGAATCGGACGGCGAAACTTTCTCTGGAAAACGACGACGTCGTTGCCGCGAATCACACACCGCCATGAAACGGAGGAGGAAGAGGAAGAGAACTTTTTGGCGAGAAAGTTGTTTGTGGCAGAGCAAATCTCTGAGAATTCGTAAATTTGAGCTTTTTCTGGCAATGATTCTCGAAGTCTTGGCAATGAAGTTCGATTGGAGATGGAAGATGACTCGTACGAGCCTTTGTTGTAGCTCGAGCCAGTCGTCGTGCAGTTTCCGCTCGTGAAATTGTTGCTTGTTGATGGATCGGAAAGCGTTTTCTGCGACGAGGTTCGATAGGATTCGGAACTTTGTCTCATTGATCGCTGTGATGATCTTGTGGTTGTTGTTCTTGAGATTCGAGAGCTCGACTTCTTCGACTCGATCACGTCCGTACTCGTCTTCGATTTACACATGACTGAGGAGTTAATAATTCTCATAAGCAATTAAGGTGTTGCTTTTGAAGCTTTTACGAGTTGAATTTTAGTTGTTTTTGATGGCTTGGATATGATATGACTTTGTTTGGGTTTGAAGACGCGGAGGCGTTGCGGCGGAGAGATGCGGCGCGTTTGGACTCGGTTCTGCTTTTTATGGTGGGTGGTCCGCTTTTGATTTTGTTGGGAGATGATCACGTAGTGAAGTCAGAAGTGCGGTCGCTTTCAAAGGCGAAGCTAGAAAGGGTAGCAGTTGGCATTCTGCATAATTGTTGTGAATAACCGCACGCGCGACAGTTCAACTGTCTGTGGCCTCTTTCGGCAGGGGTCATTTTAATTAAAAAATTAAAAAATCAACAATTTATATCAAAAATAAAAAAAAATAAAAATTTATTTTTATTTTATTTTTTATACATCTTTTCATAAAAAATAAAAAAATTATTTCAAATATACTAATTTTTTTACATTTTATTTTAATTTAAAAGTCAAAAAATTATTAAAAAAATATGTTTCCAAACCAGACCATATTTAAGATAAATTATCAACAAGAAGATCTTATGAAAATTGAATATTTTCGCATAGAATATATAAAAATAAGTTAAATTTAATTTTTATCAAATTTTATTAAAATTATGTTATGGCAAATCATTATTAAAATAATTTTTTTTTTTATATATATCGTTAAAAATTGATAATTATTAACTTTTTTTATTAAAATTTTTATAAATTGTTGCTAAAACTTATAATTAGCGACGTTTTTCTATGACAAATTTGTCAAATTGTCATTGAAAATTGAAAATTAATGACTTTTTATGACGATTTTTTTAAATTGTCGCTAAAATTTATAATTACTAACATTTTTTATGACAAAATTTTCAAACTATCGGAAGATCTTATGAAAATTGAATATTTTCGCATAGAATATATAAAAATAAGTTAAATTTAATTTTTATCAAATTTTATTAAAATTATTTTATGGCAAATCATTATTAAAATAATTTTTTTTTTTATATATATCGTTAAAAATTGATAATTATTAACTTTTTTTATTAAAATTTTTATAAATTGTTGCTAAAACTTATAATTAGCGACGTTTTTCTATGACAAATTTGTCAAATTTTCATTGAAAATTGAAAATTAATGACTTTTTATGACGATTTTTTAAATTGTCGCTAAAATTTATAATTACTAACATTTTTTATGACAAAATTTTCAAACTATCGTTCAAAATTAACAATTAGTGACATTTTTTAATAGTGTTTGATAAAAAAATATCATTAATTATCATAGGATATAATAAATCTACTTATTAAGACATACACATAAATCCTTCTATATTTATCATGTTCCAAAAAAAACAAAAATAAAAAAAAACAAGGGCAATTACACTGAAGTTGTGTGAGACAGAAATAATTACTCATTAATAAAAAAAATTATAATTTTAATTATTAAAATTTGTAATATTTATCACTTTTTTTAATTAATTTTTTAATCCCCACTGCACAGTTATTTGTCCAAAAATAAAATAAAAAAGATAATTTATTGTATTTTTTTCAAATCTCATGGAAGGTCAGTGTAATTTATTCAATAAATAAATAAATAAAATTATTCAGTAAAAGTCATAAAAAAATTTAATATGTAAAATTCTTTAATCATATAATTACCAAAGTAGATGGAAAATATTAAAAAATAAAAATAAAAAACTCCAAACATCTACTTATGCCGGTAACAATTTTGATATTAAAAATATATGAATGAATTTTTTTATTTTTATTTCTTTATGAAAAAAAAACAGGGGGTCCCACTTTAAGACTCATAATATATTTTGAACATGTCGTAGTAGATTATGTCTTGACTCTTTACATTTTGAAAATTTTCCACGAAGACCCAACTTTGAAGAATCACTCCAATGGTCGACATCAATAATTGGCGCTCCAGCAAAAGAAGACAAAATTCCTAGAAGATAAGGATTCTCCTCAGATATCAGAAAAATGCCAAGAAAAGACAAAAAAAATTTAGTAAATATTTTGTGTCTATAATTATTTGAGTCTGTTAGTGATAAGGATTTTCCTTCACTCACAACTTTAATAAAGTGGATATTTCTTATCCTGCTTTATTAAAGAAAAGCTGTGAAAATCTTTATACGTGTCTTGTAATAAATTATAGTGTCAAAATTTTGTCAAAAAATGAGGATTGAATGTGAAAAATCTAGAAATCCTCTAGATATTGATTTGTGATTATGTATCAATTTTAAGCAGTATATAACAATCCCTATCAAACAATCAAGACAAATAAACACAACGATTTTAACGTAGAAAAAACCACAATTGGACACCTCCAACTGTGATTAAAAAATCACGGGCAACAGCCACAAAACAATCCACTAAAAAGATTTAAAAGAATTACACAGGTATATTCTCAATTACCTAGCGAATCCACGCCTAATTGAACCAACCTCTATGTGTCTCTTCCAACCCCGTCTTCACCTCAGAATTGTCTTTACGATGAGCCACTCCAGAATCCACTGAAGTTTCAGGCTCGAATTCTTCAGAATCCACCGAAGAACAACTCTCTCTCTCTTGTGTATAGCAAACAAAACCTTTGATGTACTCTTTTTAAATCATGAGTTGAATACTCAATAAAACATCAAAGAAAACTAACAAAATATCCCCAGATATAAACCTTAAGAACCAAAAAGAAGATCTGGAGGAATTTTAATAGTTTTGGGAGAAAACCAACTATTTATAGAAAATCCAAAAGTAATCCTAGTTTTGGAAGAAATCCAATTACTTTTGGATATCCTAGTTTTGGAAGAAAATCAACTTCTTAAAGAAATCCTTGTCAAACGGGATTGCCAATAATAAAACCTAACAATCTCCCCCTTTGGCAATGTCGTGACAAAACACACCTAACAAATAAAATCCTAAACACCCCAACCCATTACAGCCAACAAAAACCAACTTCTTTCTCAAGGTCATGATCTGCAAAACAGCTATTAGTGTCACAATCTCCAAAACAACTATTAGTCTCACAAGAGTATATGAAAAAGCAATAAACATATGGCTAGATTATCTTGAAACATTTGAAGCATGAGATGGAAAACATGAATAGATGCGACTTGGAGATTTTAAGAACATTTAATATGAAAACCTGAAAACTTGAAGAACACGTAGCATGAAAACCTGAAAACTAAGACACATACTCCCCTTTTTTTGTCACGAATTGACAAAGGAAGCGCAATCAACTAAAGCCATATCATAAACCACACAAGCAATGATATGACGATGTAAATACCAGAAACACACAAGAAGGAAATAATTAGCAAACAGTGCATAGCAATTTGCAAAACAATTAAAGCCAATCCCCCTTACCGAACATATCAAAGTGTTCATGCTAAACAACTCTTGCAATGAAAAACCAAGCTCCTTACCAACCCAAATCAAGATGAACCAAACTCCCCCTCACTAAAAGCAACCACAAACACTGAAAATAGTGAACAAGAAGAAAAACGATAAAAATAATATGGTGGAGCAAGTAAGGAATTTCAGATTAGTACCTTAAAACATACAAGACTATCCAAGAAGCACCATTACAAGAAAACACAATGTGCGCAATCTATGAAAGAAAGTGATGCATTATGTGAACAGCATAGATCCCATGAGAAAAGTATGTGTGTGACTCTTGGAGTTTGACAAACACTAGATTCAATCCTAGTAGTGATATGAAAGCTGGACCTCCGACAAGAGAATCTAAGCACAATTAAGGAAAGTTAAACCACTAGGAATCAAGGGGTATTTGGTGAGTAAAGGCGGAGGCTCCCCCTCAATCAATGAATCTTTTCCTTTTTCTTTCTTTCTTTCTTTTGCACATTTTTTTCTTTCTTTTGCATATTTTGTTTTCTTCTCTTTCTTTTTCTTCTTCTTTTTCTTTTTCTTTTGCACAATCATTGGTGGCTGACACGCTCAAGAGTATGGAAACCGAACCAGAGAAGCATGGATATAATAAGGATGCACTGCAAGAAATCAGCTTTTTAGGGACAAATTTATTTTGTCTCTAAAAGTGTAATATTTGTTGGGAAAAACTTTAGCCAACCAATTTCCTCCGTCGCGAAGTTTGTCCCAAATGGCCCGTCCGGAAAAGTCAAAAAATGACTTTTAGAGACAAAATTTTGCATTTGTCACTATAAATAGACTTTTAGAGACAAAAATAGGTGGTTTCAAAAAGTTTTGATTTTGAGACAACCAAAATTTGTCTCTAAAAGTCTATTTACTGCCACACTCCCACGTGAGATACATGTGGGCCTCACACAAATGCACCCCACTGTTTGTCTCTCATGTGATATGTTCTTCAAAAAAATTCTGTCTACTTATAAAAATTCTAAAGAGTAATGCAAGAGACCTCTAAAAAATCGTTCCTAAATTTACCCCTAAGGTGGTATAAATCAGGTCCACAGCTGGTATACATGCAGCAAGTTGTGATGAGTTCAAAACTAATCCTCAGAAATTGTCTTCGCCCACTCATTATTATGTAATCCATTTCCTTCAGAGAGAAAGAGTTCAAAACTAGTCCTCCCCCTTGCTCATAAATTAATGTAATCTTATCTTATAAAATCACTCTAGAAAGTTAATACTCACAATTTCTAGAAAAGTGAATGTATAGTCCTTTCCTCTTATCTGTGTCTGCTGGGCACAGTAAAAAGAGAAGTAGACAATTGTTTTTATACACTGTTCAAGTGTGTTGTCCACTTCCTCTTTAGTTCCTAGATCTGGAGGTGATAAGAGGAAAAGTATGCTTTTCTTGTTGCCATGTAGTCAGCTTAGAGAGAGTTTCTAAACCTTAATTTCCAGCATAATTTCCATTGACCTCATCAAAAACTTAAAAACCAAATTTAACACAAACAATCCAATCATATTAATATCCTAAGATTTAACACAAACAATCAAAGGGGACCCAGATCAGGTGCTGCTGCCTTGAAGAAAACAATTCAGAAGATACTAAAAGCACAGTGATGTATAACCTGTACTAGCATATACATGCAATCCAATCATATTAATATCCTAAGATTTAACACAAACAATCAAAGGGGACCCAGATCAGGTGCTGCTGCCTTGAAGAAAACAATTCAGAAGATACTAAAAGCACAGTGATGTATAACCTGTACTAGCATATACATGCAATCCAATCATATTAATATCCTAAGATTTAAC